TGGTGTCTGAGCTCTCCTGCAGGCAAAACAGAAACCTGAGGAATTTTCCTAAGGGACAAGGTGGCAGCTGCTGTTCAATCAGTACCAAATTCAGTCACACAAGCATGGGATCATGGGGTTAAAAGTGAAACCTCAACAAGCCCCAAACTGGGGTGTGGGTATGTAGATGCATCATTGCTGAGGAAACCTCATTTCTCTATCTTTTTTTCTTCAGCTCCTGAGTGGCTGAGAGAACTGCTTCTGCAGAGACTGCTGCTTTACAAAACACAACATTCTACTGAAACAGATTTAGTTTATAAAGTAGCTCCCCATCCCAGCAGCACTGCAGACCTGAAAGTCACCTGTACAGAACACAGAAAAAACAACATTCATAGCAACAAAATCTTCTGGGTCAACAAACAAAAGTTTGTGAAAAGAAAGAAGGCTTTGATGTCAGTTCTTTGGATTTCGAGCAATTTTGTGAAGTGGCAATAGGGAACCAGAGGATGTTACTTAAACAGTGCAAAGGCTTTGAATAAAGAGTGTTCACAAAAGGCTACTAAGGAAAGTCAGTTGTCAGGAGGAGAAGAGTGGGTAACACCCTGCCAGTCATGGATACAAATCCAGTTAGGGGATAGCACGCAGGGGCAGAGCAGGAATAATTGCTTGGTTCTCTTCACAGCATTTAAGTAGTGGGGTGCCTCTAGGATCAATACAAACAGTGGCATTGTTTAATGTACTTATTGAGGTCCTACTAGAAAAGCTGGATCCGTAAGAGCAGTGGGCAAGACAAGGCTGATGAGGCACCTTGGTAAGCCTTGACAACACTAACTGAGTAATGCAGCAGCAAAGGGAATGCAGTGTAGATGAGTGTGCAGCAATGCACCTTGGAAGGCATGATTTAAACTACTTGTATACACAGATGGGCTCTGAATTAATTGTAACCTTTCAACAATAAGATTGAGGCATCAGCATGGACAGCTTAATGAAGATGTCTGCTCAGTGTGCTGCAGTGGTCAAACCCAGAAAATAAGCTGTAATAAAAAAAAAAAATGGATGACAGAAGATATTGTAACATGATTATATAAAAAACACTCATAGAAAATTTCAGTTATCCAGCCTCAGAGGGATGTAGAAGAGAAGCCTGCCTAGAGAAAAGATCAAATGAACTTGCAGAGGTCAGTCATGCCAAGTGCTGCTTATATCCTGAGTTACTGACTGCAGTACATCCTAGAATCTCAGCACCTCAACTGAGCAGATTGATGACTTTTAAAGAAAGAGTACATGAAAGTTTGTTCAATGAAGGACAGAATTGATGTGGCACATGGCATACTTATGTACCTGGTTCATAATAAGGAAACATGTAAAAAGACATAGTCTCTCAATGCAGCCTGTAACTAATCTATAGAAAACTGGTCATAAACTGTTACTGCGGTAAATAGCTTTTTTTACCACCAAAACCAAGCAGACTTAAACATACATAAAAAAGGAAAGAAAACACAGCCTCTCTGCTCATGTAAATAGAGTCAGTCCATTAACTGTTGTAATCAGTCAAACTGATTATACAAGCCACAGAGGTATTATTTTATCAGTTGTACAGAAAATAAAAATGACAAGAGTCTTCAATTTCCAGTGTTCAGCAGTCGACAGGGTTAAGATACAAATCCCTCAGATTTATGTCTCCACCAGTGATGATATAGCTGGCGAGTTGCTTTATATTAAAGTTTTGTCCTCTCAGTTGTACAGTCATGAGGGAATCCTTCAGGTATTGTTGAATGCCAGGTGCATCACAAGTTCTCTAGAAGACATTAATGTTGGCATTGCTAGTTAGGCAGATACTGAACTTAGTGTACCAGCAGCTTTTCCTGTGCTATGAATACCTGTCTTCAGGCAAAATACACATGACTGAAGTTCAGATGTCCTTTTAGCTATTTGTTCTTTCTAAAATCAAGCTCCCTTGAGCTGTGCCAAAAAAAAAAAAAAAAATTTTGCAAGGGATTGCTAGCCATATTACATGAGAAGCAATATGACAGTTTAAAATAGCATTAATCAGAGCTATAGATCGAATTTAAGTCAGTATTTGTCACAGAACATTTTGTTTTATTATGCAAGACCTAATATAATAATAGTAATGATAATCATCATCATCATCATCCTAAGCATTCAACTAGCCTGGAGAATTTATACATGAAAGACGATGAAAGAAATGTTTAAAACATTGCAAACTGTCAGGAGCTTTGCCCTTAAATGGGAAGACTTACAGAAAATCTGTAAATGAAAATACAGAGTGGTGGATATTTGTCAAACTCTTGGAGGAGTAAAAGCAATATGCACATGCCCATTAGTAGTAATAGTAGTAGTCGTAGTAATAATCCGCTTCCTAACCTGGCATGGGAATGGTGGGTGGAGGGAGGAGGACTGGAAATACACTGAAGTACAAGTGTAGCTCAGCCTTCGCCCTTGGATAAATATTTTTCTTAAGACCTTGGAGACAACTTTAGATGGATGCAAGAGCCCTAACACATATTCATGCTTTTGCTGAACATCTTCCATACCAGAGCATGGTATCTTCCATACCAGAGCAAATTATATGATGTTTGGTTTATCGTGTATGAGCATGATAGTGAGGGAAGTTGCTGGATTTAACATTTTCTAAATGAATGGAAATTGGTTATTGGGGTGTCAGAGTCTGGAGGGAAGAAGGAGGCAGTGGATGTGGTTATGCAAAGAAGTTGTCAAAGAACTTCGCTGTGATTGATAGTATGTTGCTGGACTGCTGCCATTCACCCTGTGAGAGATTCGGTGGGGGGTGTTGCACGTAGCTGCAGGAAATGGGCTATTTGGAAGGAAAATTGCAGTGATCTTCCTGGACTAGAACTATGAGGATTGAAAGTTTGCAGGGATAATTCATCCTGGAGCAGAAAGAAAGCAAGAGCCTCCAAAGAGTCTTGCAGAGGTAATTGGTAAGAGGCACTGGGAGTGGAATATTTAGGACACAGGGAAGGCAGAGAAGAGAGGGGAGAATTTTATGATCTGAAATAAATGCAGAAAACTAGGATAGCTGTAAAATGCTTTGATGTCAAATATCTGTGGCCACAGTAGTGATTCTTAGGCATTAACCAAAAAGATCTCTGCTAGGCATTTTCAATGAGAAAGGTACTATTTTTTTCCACTTTACAGAGAGATAAACTGAGGTCTATGTAGGACTTTCAGAAGGAGAAAGGAATTTGGGTGCTTAAGTCTGATTTTAATTACACTGCTGGAGCTGGGAGAGAGGAGAGAACAAATACCCTGGCTCCTGGCCTTTTGATGAGACCACTGCACAGCTATTAAAGGACTTGTTTTCCTTTCTGATTACATTTGACCATTTAAATCCATTTAAGCTTCTACTCTAAAAGGAAAAGAGTGCATGCTCAATTCTGGAGTAATTAGGTAATGTTGGTATTATGCTCTGAAGCTGTGAAGTGCTAATTTATGTAAAAGGCAAGTAGTAGTATTATTAGTGCTTGAGTATGATATCATCAGGCTGATGCATAAGAACAGCAAAGTGTGAAAAATTACATTCATCTGCTGTGCCTTCCTAAAAACAACTGAAACCAAAAATAATCAGTTGAAAAAAAAATTGATGGTGTGGTTTGCAAGACATATCTCATCAAGATATGTCTGATCAGAAAACAGGGTATGTGTTTTCAGATAAGGGGCTACCAAACTTGAATTTTGAGTAGTTTTAGGAAATATAAACTATATTGAATATTTACAATTCTTTGTTTGCATTTCATTATTTTTCAGGGGTTTGACTGACTTACTGTACATATTTCAGAGCAAAACATATGAGAATCGAGTCTGTCGTTTCCAAATTCTAGGGCCCACGAAACAGCTACTTACACAAATGGAAACAACATTTGCTGGTGCCAACCAAAATGAAAGGCTGAAGGAAAGCAGGAAGTAATCCACACAGAAAGTGTGTAACTAATCTTGAGAGGGACAGCAGCAAGGCTCCTCTGCAGCAAGCATTCAGGAAGGGAGAAGCACAGATAGGCATCTTCTACACTGAGAATGGCTTGTCTGAGTGAGATTAACCCTTGCCACAGAAAACAAAGATAGCCTATCAGTGTTCCAGAGAACAGACAATGTGAAGTGCTGGATTGAGATGAGGCCAAATCTGAAATATAAAGCCTCAAAATACAGCTCTGCAGTAAAAAGGTTCTCAACTAAAGAAAGGCAGTGAAAATCCACTGATATGACAGGTCAGACTGGAATGATTCCCAGATTCTTCATCGTTGTAAAAAAATGAACCACTGGAGAAGGTGTATGCAAAGTAAGTTGCCTAAAATGACAAACAAGATGAGAAGGTTTATTGCTTACAAATTCTCCTGAACCCACAGCATATTTCTTAAGGCCTGGAATGGATGGTGCTGCCATTACCACACAGTACACACATTATAATTATTTAATTTAGGAGAAGAACATAATCAAATCAAAGGAGAAAAATGTAACTGAAACTGCAACTGTCTGCTGACAATGTATGAGACGTGACACCAACACCACAGCTGCTTGTAACCCTTTATCATCAGAAGGAGGACTAAACTACTCCCCTATTTCTTTAAATAAAAATTTGAAGTGGCAAAGTTGCTGGAGAAGCTTTAATGGCTATAGTGATTATATGGAACAACTACTTTCCTACATACTACAACACCATTTTTGCACACATTTGTTTGCTCTACGTGGAACTCTTGCAGTCCCATGAAAGTATTTCTCATGTGATTTAGAGAGATTCTGCTGTATATGATACCATTAGGTCCAATAAGTACATCCAAAGTACGTGCTTACCCATATCTAAATTGGTGTTCAGCATTACAACAGAATATTTCTCTTATATAATAACCATTATGTTAATTTTACTAACGTTTTCTTCAAGTCAGAAATACTGAAATTGCAAAGACTCAATCTGGACTTAATCAAAGGAATAATATAATTATATTTTTAATTGGGTATTATTAAATTCCAGGCCAGACACTCACACTGATCAGTGTCTCAAGTGGACTGTTGTGCTCTAAAGATGTGATCACCTGAAAATCCAGTCCCAAGTACTGACAGTTCTTCGCTCTAAGTTGTGTCAATTCAATCAGTTGGAGGTCTGAAAAAATAAGATTTTGTCAATCTTACTCATACTGAGAAGAATCTTACTTCCTGCATAGCCTCACCCAGTTAAAACAGAATGTTTGTATGCAGATACAAGAGAGTAGGGTACTGTGTAAAGTGATCTGCCCAAAAAACGTGATTGTTAATCATGTGTATAAATGTACCTGTATTGAGCCCTATATTTGTAATAATTTTTTTTTTAGCATTCCAGTTCATTCTAATAATAAGTTTCAATTATTCAGTGGACTTTAAATAAATTACTTGTCAACTACCCATTCAATTAATTACAGAATGTATGTAACAAATGCTTTAGGTGTACTCATCCAGGTCTAATACATACTTAGATGTATGCACACTGCTTTCTAATAATTTTTAATTAAATAAAGCATCTCATTCTACTTTAAAAAAAAAATTGAGTTTTCCTTGACCCAAACAAGTAGTATTAGTACATGGCTTGGTCTCCAAATGAAAAAGATATTTGTTCACACAGCCTAGCCCTGGTGACCGCTTTCCACCTCTGTGCTCTATTTGAAGCTTGTGTTATTCAGTTTACTACAGAAGCTGCCACTGCTTTGTCAAAAGCACCTGAATGTTTCCTTTTGTTATTCCTGGTTCCCACTGATACCAAAACATAAAAGTAGTGAAATGGTCTGTGTTGGAGATCTGTGTGACAAAGTATAAATGGAATCCACTATTTCCTTATCTGTGTGTTTATCTTAGTGTATTTACATCCTCTTGTGCCTATGTATGTATTAAGAAATAATGTTCTTAATAAGTTTTTCCATTTTTGCAGAGTTACTTTTTCAAAAAAGATACCTCACAGTGAAATTACACTTAAGGAATACTCTCAGTTGTGACTACACAAGTTTGAAAGACTGCACAAGGAGGACATATAAGGGTAAAAAAATGGAGTTTTCCATGCCTCCCAAGACATTCTCACATGAATAAGATCATGCAGATAAAGGGTGCAAAGTCACATTCGTTATTATCAAAATAAAATATACTGGCACATTACTCGATCCATCTAACAAAACACAAAAAAATGTGGGTGGGAAGAGAGTAGCACAATTTGCATAGCCTGTGTTCCTTAGTTTTGACCAGCAATTTTATGTGCACATTTTTGGTTCCTGACATACCAACAAGAGATTCAAGTATATGAAACCCTCTAACATATCCCCTAATGCTTCAAGGAAGTTCCTTGCCCTGGGTAACTCCTTTCAGAATGATTTGCTGCTAATAAAGCACTCCTGTAACCCCAATTCTCAGCACAGTAACCACCTGCAACCACCACAGAGATAGTTTATCCTGTGAAACCTGTCAAAGAAAAAATTAATCCCGTACAGACAAATTGAGATAGCACATTCTATGTCTCCTTCTGCATTTACACTGACTTTCTCCCACTAGCCAACTCTTAGGAATACAATACAGATTAATATAATACATTACATTAATAATGTAAATAATACATTACAGGTTTTGTAACTCCTGGTAACATAGGCCACCACTGAAAGAAATCCCCAGTGGGTCATCTCATCCACACTTGGGCTGCCCACCTGTATGTCAGGTGCAGTACCTCTCTGAAGAGTGGCCTTCCCTGGGATAGCAGATTGTTGAAATGGGAGGCTAGATGCTCAGCTCTGGGGAATGCCTGACTAGTGTCTGGACCAACAGAGGGGATCTGTGATGGGTTTAGGAAGTTTGTGTCTGATATTGAACTAAGTAAATTGAGTTAATCCTGTTTTCTGCCATAGTCTGGACTTTGGGACTGTTCGAACAGTCAAACTTTCCATGGTAATTCTTTCCCACCTGGATACACACAGGATCTCATGACTAGACCCATGGTTAATCTTCTGTCCAATCTTTCCCCTCAATCCCATAAGAATAACAGGTCATCTCTCAGTAACACAGAAAACAAAGTTCCCTGTTAATCAAAACCCCAACAGCAAAAAAAAAACCTAACTGTTCTTCTCACAAAGGGAATTCCAGGGGGTAAGAAACAGGCATGTTGAGAGACCAAAACGTATTTCTCTGCTTCTTGGGTGCCCACCTGGAACAAAGTTGTCATTTTTCCTCAGGGTAGGCAGTGAAACTAGGGACAGCCATCCAGCAAAGAACTGGAGACCTCCTGCACCACAGTTCCCTCCTCCACCCCAACTGTCAGGTGCCTCTGGGAAGGGTGGGATTGAAGGTAGCTTTGAAGAGGTCAGATGCAAGAGCAGCCAGAAAACCATGGCTTGTCTTCTCAGTAGCAGAGTGACATTTCTACAGAAAGGACATTTCTTCCAGGATATCATTATAATATAAAATTTCCTATCAGATAACCCTAGCAGCTATCCTGACCTGGATTTTCCTGACTGCTTTGTGTCAGCGTGGGAGGGAATACACAGAAACTCACCTTCACAATCATCTGGGACAGACAAGTTATAGAGAGTTAGGGACTACATTTTCAAAGTTGCAAAAAAAAAGGACTTGAAGATCCAAGTCCTCCTGCAATTCACTGCCCTGGGTGTCTTGTTCCAGGGATATACCCCCAATACTCAGCAAGCTTAAACATTTCCAGTAAGCACACCATCTGGGATTCTCCTTTGTGATTTTCCTTTCCTTCCTTTCACCACACTCAGCAGACATTCCACTCTGGAAGGAGTGAACAGGGCTGCATCTGCAAGCCAGCCTTCCAATCCAAAATGTTAATATTCATCTGAGAATCCATCTTTGTCTTTTTTTTCCATTGTTGTGTTTGATATTTCTCAGTGATTTGTCCTAGACAGGCCCTTCAGTCTCATTCTGCTTTCAGCTCTACTCCAGTTCTTCACTTGAGAAGCAATTCTGTGAATCCTGCTGTTTTCATTCCCACCCTTGGCCACCTCTGGCTTTCTCCTGATATGCAGTGCCCTGTTTTCTTGCTGTCTGACTGAGGAACTAACTCATATGCAAAAGACTTTGAAGAATATGAATGAAAATATTTCTTTAAATAACCATGGGTTGGATCAGGAGTGGCAAACAAATGAGATTCAGGGTTTCCTGAGAGCCCAGTGGTGATGGGCTCATGCTTTGTCCTGTGTTCCTTTAGCTGCCAGTCACAAGTCTTCCAGCCATTTCCTAGAAAGCAACCAGTTGAGTGTGTTCCCACTTTGCTATGGCCATGAACAATGACAGACTTGCCTTGTCTGGCATCGCTCTGCTGAGCCTTATCTGGATCCCATTGCAGCTCCTGATGGAGAAACACCATCCCACCTAATTCTTTGTACGTGGGCTGTAAATACCTGAAGATATGTTTTGTGTAAGTGAAGTGTCATGGGGGCTGTGACTTCCCTACTATTACTTCTGGCAGTCTCACACCAATTGTCCATAACTCACTTTGGCAAGCTGGCAGCTTCCAGCACCTGAAAGCTGAAAATAGGAAAGGGCATTTGCAGGGTGGTGATACGATGTGTGCTTGGCTTTAAAAAGGATCACAAACTTAAAGCAGCAGAGAGCAAAAAGGCATACCAGTATCACCATGGATATGTGACATTAAACAAACCACTTGTCATGATACACAGCTGACTACTTGCCAAATGGAACAGGATCTTATTATTATTTATTGTTTCGTCCTGCTAAATCTGCACACCAACAAGAAGAAAAAACTCCAGAAAGATACTGTCACTTTTTCTGACCATCCCTGACTGTATTGGAGATCCTTGTTCGGTGGTAATTCCCACATCCATCTACTCACGTGCATTTGAAGACCAAAAGGTGAAATCATGGTGAGCACCCTACATAACTGCTGCAGGAAAGGCAGCGCCAGAATAAGGTAACTTCCTTGAAGTTTTAAAGATTCCTGTCCTCACAGCGCTTTGACTTCACCCCTTTTGTCCCTCACAGCTGGGACATCAGCCAGGTATTTTCCTGGTATCCCATGTGTGCCCAACCACTGCCACCTGCCCACGTGGCTTTGCCAAAGGATTGCACCAGCCACACAGAGACACTCATCCATCACACCTCAGTGCATCCTGGAGCACAGCTCCGCCTCCATCTCAAGGCCAGACAAGGCAGAACTAACCATTCTTTAGGTTTCGTAAGTCACTGCAACCAAATAAGAATCTGGCCCACCCAAAAGGGGGAAGACGCTGCCACACGGAGAGCCTCTTGAAGCCTCCCGTTTGCCTCACCTGTGCCCTCCCAGGGAGGCCCTCCTGCACTGTGGTACATCCTTGCACAGCACGTGGAGGAGCAGAAACCCCATCTCAGCCTACATGATGGCCGTCTTGGTCTCATATTCACAATTCCTTGGGCCGGGAGGAGTGTCCTCCCTATGTGCCTGTAGACGGCTCCAAGAAGAAAAAGAAACACGGAAGCAGAAAGCCAGGCAAAGGCACTGTGGAAAACTGGGCCAGCATCCAGCACTTCCCTGTGGCATGCCTCCCCCAACCCCTCAGTTCTTCCCTGCTACTTCAGCATGGCTGCCCTTCAGAGGGGAGCTAGTGGATCTGGAGCAGTAGCTCCAGAAAGGCAGGAGCGCCGGCCTCGGGGGGCGGCCTGGATACTCGTGGCCCTTGCCGGGGCTGTGCCGCCGGGCAGGGCTCTGCCGGGCAGGGGGGCGACAGGGGACGTGCCCAGCCAGGGCGATTGCCCGAGCAGAGCGTGTGCCCACCCGCAGCCCGCATGTTCTGCTTTCTTTGCCATTCCAGTGAAAACAATCGTAAATAACAGTAATAAACCCCGCCACACCGGCCAAGGGCAAGAGTGGGTGGGCATTCGCCCTGCACAACCCGGGTGGCAGCGGGGAAAACACAGGAGATGGAGGGGCGTGGGCGGCGGGGAGCGTGCCGGTATCCCCACATACACCTCCCGCATACGGCGCTCGTGTTCGTGGAAAAAGGCGGATTTCGGATCTCGCCTCCGGGAGAGGGGCCGGCCCCAAGGACGCCCACGCGGGTTCTGGGGCC